ATACATACATACATACATACATACATACATACATACATACATACATATCTAATTAATAGTAGTTAAGGGACTATTATGGTTATGTTGTTATAAATTTTTATAATGGGTTAAAGGGAGTAAAATAGAGAAAATGTATAAGTAAAGGGATGGCAAGCTCGAATTGATAATAAAAGGGGAAAAACCTTTGAATGGAATAATTGTATGTGGAAAAATTTTGCAAATGTGATGGATGTAAGAAAATGTGTATAATTGTTACAGAAATTGAATAAGGATATGGATAGTATTGTTAAATAAGACAGAAAAATGAAATAAGCCATAATATGAAATGAAATTATATAAAATAAGATAATACTGTTGAGTAATGCATGGGAATATTTAAAGAAAAATGTAATAAGTAATAATATGATATGAATATGAAAGCTGTATGTTATTATGGTCACGTTTGTATTGAAATGTGAAAACCTGGAACCACATTGTTCACCTAATGAGATGTTTTTAAAAGATAAAAAATAAAAAAAATATTCAAAAAAGAAGAAGTTGTGGATGCTCCATCACAGGAGGCTTTGAATAAGAGACTGGACAACCGTATATCTAGCAGGGGTTGGACTACAATACTTCCAAGGGAAATTCAAAGTCTTGTGTTCCAATTCTGTGTTCTAAACTGTTAGTGTTAGTCTGTTGGTGTTTTATCTGACACTAGGACAGCAAGTGAATTTCTGTTGGTTTAGCTAAATCAAATTTAAAATGGGAAACTTGTTCACAAAAGGTACCAGTTTGTTGATGTAAATTAGTTATATATAATAATGATAATAATTTAAAAGTTATCTCATTTTCTATAGGCAAATAAGGTTATATAAAAGTGACAGTTTGATAGGTTGGATCTTGGTCTGAGAACAAAGAGTAATATGTTGAATATAACTACTTTACTTATTTTAATATAATTTTTGTCAAATTTGTAAATCTTTTGACAGTATCTGGTAGGGTAAATGCTGTTTAACATCTGAATTTACTTAAAAATAAATGTATACTTTTGGACTCCATCTATCTGTTCCAATCTTATTAATAGTACAAGACTGAACTTTATTAAACTGTCTGCAAAACAATTTATATTAGAGCTCCCTTTTTCAGAGACAGAATTAACTCTGTTGATCATGACTTTAAGGGAATATTCAAGAATTGCAGTTTTAAAATCCTTCATTTCCTTTAAGGCTCTTCTTAAAACCCAGTTATTTGGTTAACTGGTCCTGATGCTATTACTGCTTTTCAGTATGGCTGTGTATAGAACAGAAAACATGTTTTCCTTTGAACCTGAAACAAATAAATGTATTTTGGGAGTTTTGCCCATTCATTTTTAATTGATTGTGGTTCAGCGGTAATGTAACCTGGAACATTTTGTTGTTCCCAATTTTGGCCAGAACCACATATGGAGGGATCCTGGAATGATTTTACAAGTGAATGTATAAATTGGGTAGCTATGGCTTACACCCCTCTGCCTGTCCCTGATTTGTCAATTGCTCTGCTGGGCCTTTTCAGTGCCTTGCGGCTCCTCTCTTCCCTGCAATCCCACTGCAGCATATCTTCAACCTCTCAAGTCTTGCCAGGGCTTTCTTGGCTTCCCTTGCCACTTTTGCCACTGATGTCCCTGTGTGGCATATCCCACTTGGTCTGCCTATCCCTGAATTTCCAGCAGATGTTTTCCTCTCCCTCCCTCCCTTTCCATCGCTGCCTGCCTTGTTAACCAATTCTTTGCTGTGAAGTTCAACAGTAAAAGAAGATTTCACATGTGCCTGTTGTTCCAGCGCTTCATTTCTACCCTTGCTTCAAGAAGCTAGCGAATTAGGAAATAAGCCACTAATACAACACAATCCCAGGAGCCTTTGCTGAGCCTCAGTGATGATAGCATGACATTGTAGCTTTGCAGCCAGGCATTTTCCCCAACAGCTGTCGCCGTGGTTATGAGTTGCAGAGTAGAACCTGTGATGTGGAGGGAAAGGGTGGCAGAAGAGTAATGTTACGCCAGAGTCCAGAGACTGGAAGGCGGGCTAAAGCAAGGGTGTGGCTCATACTGAGTACCTAAGCAGAAAGAATCAAGACAAGCATTTTTTGCAAGATGAGATTTCCTCACTGGTCAAAAATTGAATTGATGTGTGATGTGTGGGTCCCTGATGAGATTACCTGTGAAAGTTGCTCGAGGTCACAGATGAGACTGTAGGAAATAGAAGAACTGATAAATTGACACATGCAAAGGGTGTGTATGTGTGTAGCAACACTGGGCTGTCATACAAGCTCCGTTCTTTTATTGCATATATTGAGATGTTACCCAAAAAGGGCAAAGTACAATATGCCTCCATCATTCTGATGAAAACTGTGAGAACCCGGAGTCACCATTTTTCCCATGAAGGGGGAAATGGCCCACCCCAGACCTTATGGAAAATCTAGCCTTGCTTATTTTTGTGGTTCATATTGAGCATCAGCTGAAACAGTGAAACCAAACTATGTTCTGTCTCCAACACACAGTCATTAAGAATTAGAAGTTCCTTCAAAGTACGAGTAGTTTTTCGTAGTTCAGTACTAGATAGTTGAGAGGAACCTTCAAAATCTTTGAGCTAAAAGAAATTCTTACACTTATCAAGTGCATAGCTGAAACCAGATTTTAATTTTTAACCAAAGTTTTAGAGGGCACCAGATATAAATATGCTTCCTTTGTTTAAAATTTGGTAATCAAATTTGGTTAAAATAAACATTCCTGCCCTTGATCTAAATACAGGTACTCCTCAACTTACAAGCACAATTGAGCCCAAAATTTCTGTTGCTAAATGAAACATTTGTTAATTTTTTTGCCACAATTGTTAAGTGAATCACTGCTGTTATTAAGAACATGTTTGTTAAGAAAATCTGGCTTCCTCATTGACTTTGCTTGTCAGAAGATTGCAAAAGTTGATCACATGACCCAGGACACGGCAAACATCATAAGTACGACTCAGTTGCCAAGCATCTGAATTTTGATCACATCACCATAGGCAGGGGTGGGATTCAAATTTTTAAATAACCAGTTCTGTGGGCGTGGCTAGGTGGGGATGGCCATGTGACTGGGTGGGTGTGGCTTCTCCTTTTTTGCAGCACCCCCCCATTTTTTGGGCCTTCTGGGCCTCAGGGAAGCCTCCTGAGGGGGCGTTTTTGCTCCCAGAAGGCTTTCCTGGGGCTCAGGAAGGAAAAAATGGAGCCAGGAGGAGGCGCACACCCTCCCCATGCTCCATTTTGGGGCTTTCTGGGCCTCAGGGAAGCCTCCTGGGGGGCTTTTTTGCCCCAAGGAAGCTTCCCTGTGGCACAGGAAGGCAAAAAAATGGAGTGGGCGGTTCTGCACCACCCCCTCCATTTTTTGCCTTCCTGGGCCTCAGGGTAGCCTCCTGGGCAAAGCAGTAAGACAGCGAGGGGAATCCCGGCACAGCTGATCATAGGAACAGCTGATCGTTGGGAGGGGGGAAAAGAAATACCTGGCCGAGGAAGAACGCAATCAGTGATGTCAGGCATGCATGCGATGTTGTGCATGTGTGATAAGGACTGACTAGGCGAAGAGGGGAGCGTGGAGAGCGGCGGAGCCAGCCAGGGGCATGATTTGCCAGTTCTCTGAACTGTGCAGAATCATAACAACCGGTTCTATGGAGCCGGTCCACACCGGTAGAATCCCACCCCTGGCCATAGGGATGCTGCAATGGTCGTAAGTGTGAAAAGTATCACTTTTATCAGTGCCATTGTAACCTTGAACAATTACTAAATGAACTGTTGTAAGTCAAGGACTACCTGTATACAGCATGTTTTTAAATTCTGTATTTTGGTGAAATGTGAAGCAATATCCACAAAACTTTCAAGGAATACTTCCCATCACTTCCTGCTTTAGGAGTTTCAGTTTGATGAACCAACACTTAAATGTTTGCATCAGCCCACTCCACAGCAAATGGAGGGGTTTGGGAGAATGTAGATATGTTCTGGGAGAAAACCATGCACTCTTGGCATATATCAAAAATAAAAGATGAATTTCTAAACAAATTATGTAGAATAATGAAGAGTAAAAAAGGAATACATAACATGCTTGTAACTAAAGTGAAGTTACAGAACTAATTAAATAATATTTTACTCAGTTGTTCAATAACATTGTAAATTATTATTTTATTATGAAATATTGAGATGCTAAATTCTTGAACTACTGAATGAAGAACTAACAAGTGTAACTTCTCTTGACATTGTATTGTGTCTATAATAAAGGTGGGTGAGTGACTTTTGCGTGATATCCTATCCCTAGTATTTGAAAACATTTTCTTCATGAAGAATAGCCAACCGAATGATTAGAGATTCTTGATAAATAAATCTGTATTTGATTGCTGTAATCAATTTGCATTCTTTATTTTACAGAGGAGCAAAATGAATAGAATAAAATAAAAGAGACTTCTAACCAGGTTGTTTTAGAATTGTTTAGCTCTAATATAATTTCCCCAAATTTCTTTTCTTGTAGTTTTATATTACATTGATAAATACACATATAATTTTACATTAAAAGATGGAATGGGAATGGAAAGGAAATTTCTATTTAAGGAGAAACTTAATTTCTCCCTTATTTCTTTTCATCATCCTGTCTCAGAGGTTCCACCAGAGAAATCTCCTCGAAGACGGAGCATCTCCGGAACAAGCAATCCCACAGATACGTCAAATACATCTCCTTTCCGAGTACCAGTAAGTAGACATTTCCTTTGAAAGGGATTCTGTGACAAACTCCCTATATGTCCATGGCATAGCATTTACCCCTACAGCATACAGTATAGGGCTTGTTTGTTTTTTAAAAGTTCAGTGTCTGGGCTTGTGACAGCAGAAGCAAAGCATTGTGATGGCAACTAGGCAACTCACAATTCAAAACTGGAACATTATTTCTCTCTTCTTTATTTTAAATATGTTTAATGGTTAAAAGTTTCTTTATATTTTCAGGTTTGGCTAGTCTATATTATATGAATAGTAAAAGCATATATTGAAGAGAGAAGGAAAAAAAAAGAAGGTTATATATGTGTGTGTGTGTGTGTGTGTGTGTGTGGTATTCAGCTTCATTATAGTTGTGCTTTTAAAGTTGTAGCAACGTTTCGGCAGAATCTCATCTGCCATCATCAGGCTTCTGTATAGTGTTCGTCTGTGAGTCAGACTTTCACCCACCCCAACCAGGCACCCAGATGAAACCTAGCTTCCTAATAAATGATAGCTGTCCATTTATTTGGAGCCAAGCCGCACTAAAAGCCTCCAATACAGGAAACAAAATGTTGCCAGCCAATCAAGACAAAAAAATGCTACAAAACAGATAGAAGATATTAGAAACACCAATCAAACAGAACACAGCAAACTCCAAGACCAATAAACACAGACCAAGACTCCCAACCAATCAGGATGAAGAAAAAACCATTCTGGCACAGCAGTAGGCTAGCCCCAAATTTAAAACTGAAACGGCTGAGAAAGTCTGACTCACAGACGGACACAATACAGAAGCCTGATGATGGCAGATGAGATTCTGCCGAAACGTTGCTACAACTTTAAAAGCACAAAATACTGTATATATTATTCAGCTTTGTTCGGGTATTTTCCCATATATATATGTTCAAATTCTGTGATAAGATAGGACGAGATAACATTTATTGTCGTTTTTTTCTGTGAACACACTTGAACATATTAAAAAATGTATTTTTGATGCCCACTCTAAAATAAGCCAAAATGTTGAAAATCCACTCAAGCTAACAATACTATCCAGGATGGAATGCTTTAACCAACTGTCAGTTGCAATGACAGTTGCTGTCACAGTGACACAGCAATTTCTCATCTGTAGCTTCATTATTAACCATAGCTTCATGTAAATGATTTTAGACTCTAAAGAGCACGTTAGCAAAGAAAATAGATGGTAGGGATGCTAATCTATATGGATTAGCCTTTAGCCTAGTTGTTAGCCCTCCACATTTGCCTTGTTTCCTCTTTCAATCACTCTGTCTCCACCTCAGAAGACATTCAGAGCCAGAGGGAGGCTTCTCTTCTTCAAAGGCTGCTGCTCCCTGCTGCCTCCACTGCCTGAAGCATTGAGCGCTTTCAGAGACTGTAGCTGATCTCACACCCTCTGCTCAACCCACCAATACTTCTGCTGCTTGCACCTTTAACCAAAGCAGTCCAAAGCAACACAGACTCTCCAGAACAGCTTTATCAATAGTTCCTCTCTTGCTAAACATCACCAATCCAATATAGTCATATAACAGTTTGGTAATACATTTCCATTTTCTTGTCACAATTCCCAAAGAATCACTGGATGGCATTTTCATCCCCCAAACCCCAACACTCTTTAGAGCCAAACTAGCCTCAGCCAAGCAAGACACCGCCATTTTAGAATTAAGAATTACCAAGCATTGTTGACAGAGGACCAGATATTCTCTTTGATTTAACCCATTGACAGTTCACATTCAGAAGATGACTATGAGTAGGTTCACACAATATGTTACACTCTAAATCTGAGTTAATAAAGCAGACTCTGAAAACAATAGTATTTCCAACTTTTTGTAATTGCCTTCCACCCACAAAATGGTGATACCGGAAATTGCTTAAACATACACACTTCAGCAAGTCTGAATACATCAGCTCCATTTCTGTAGTAGACATAATTTTGCAATGTTCTGTTCTTATACAAAAGGAAGATTTGAAGTCACTCTCGTGTAGGCGTAAATTCATTACCTAAATTCCTATTTTTGCACACCGAGACCTTGAGCTTGACAATTGACAGACAATTGACAGACTAGATCCAGGAAACCAACATTCAAAATCTGTTGTCTTACTCTTTTTAAGGAACCTTCAGATCACAAGTTCTGTTCAGACATAATAGGAAGTTTTGCCGCTGCTTGGGTTTATGGTTAGTAGAAGGAGTAAGTGGGAAATCGATGAAGAGCATATCTGATAATAAACCTGAATTCTAGATGTCTTCAGATGCAGCTGCTTTCCAACAAATGTTCCTTACAGTCACTGAAAGAGTAAAATGGCATCAACTGTGAGGTCAGGTGGCTCAGTCCCCTGAAGGAATAGAATTTAAAAAATGATAGGTTGGAGTACAATCAAGTATTGATTGCCCTCAGTTTCCGGGTTAAGTGTGATGTTATCTTTAGAAACAAATTAGCAGTCTTAAAAGGCTCTAGAAATACATTACTTGCAGGACATGTAATATGTCTTTGTTCTTCAGTTTCTTTTCTTTTTTTCTTTTCCAGTTGTTAATATGCACAGCCTGGCTATTTTAAAAATTCACTTCTGAATAGAACATTCAATTCCAGTACAGACTTCATCACCATTCTTCTAGGCACTGAACAGTGGCATCCATACAGAAAAAAGATTACTCAACTGCACAACTTAATGGGCCTTTGTCCAGTGCTTGGAATTTTGATTTATAGTTGCATAATATTCTGAAATGAATGCTTTCTTTTCTTTTCTTCTTAATTTGGAAGAAGCCCTTCAAATAATTCATTGCAGTGAAGTGCTTAGGATGTATTCTCATTTAAGAGACTATCAGATGAAATTAAGTTTTTCTCTTCCTCTTAAATATCTGATGTTACTGTTTCTTTTAAAATACCCATTTCTTGCGTACCAGTATAACAGTCAGTTTCAGATCACTAACAAACAATATTTAGCAGCATTCACTTAATGCAGTCCTTGGGTTGCCATTGAGTGATGAGCACAGGCTCTTCAGGCAGAATGTCTTGACCAAATCTCTGGTATTCCTGATTAACCTAAAAAACAACAACAACCACTGTTTCCCTTCACTAGTGTTGTTGTTCTTTTAAATTTATTATAGCCACCCTCACCCGTAGATTCTAGGTGGCTTACACATACTAATGCAACCATAACAAATCAAGCTAAATGAGAGGTCCCACAATCCCATCAACACGAGGTCTAAGACCGAAGCCAGATATTCACTGCCTTTTAGAATCCTAGGAGATGTAGAAAGGGTGCTCTTTTTTTATTTCTGGGGGAATGCTGTTCCAGAGGGCAGGGGCTATGACAGAGAAAGCACATAACGAGTCTACTGGAATGTACTGTGTGGGCAGAAACACTATGGAGCTAAATGAATGCATATCTTCTTTTAATAAAATAAAACACTATTTTGATGTTGCATCCCTTTCAGTAAGGATCAATTTTAGATGTCTGTAGTTGTCAGAAAGTTTCTGGAATATTGCATCTGCTCATTTGTAAAAGAAAATATTGGTGTGGCATAAAAGCTGGACTGTGAACCAAAGAATCTCCAAATCAACCATCACATCATCACTTATGATGCGGCATTAAGAAATCCCCTAAAAGTCTTCTCATCCATCAGAAGAGCAGCAGATAGATCTAGTCAGAATAGCTCTAGAAATTCCAGAAGCAAAGAAAAGAAAGATGGAAACATTGAGAGCAAAGATGGGGTGTCACGTGGAATTTTCTTTGTGAAATTAATTTCCAATTAAAATAGCCTCAAGAAAATTCCGTTTTTTAGCTTCTAGTGCAGCCTTATTTACAAGTTGGAATTGAGATATGATTCAGAAAGTGAGCAAGTTAAATATTATATAAAATAAATAGATATAGGCTTTAGACAGAACAATGATATGTCAAGATTAGAATTTTAAGATAAGAACAATATTAAATTTACACTGACTGCTGCACTTAGGGAAAATGATTCTAAAATATTTTACTGACAGGGTATCACTCAAGAATTGTTTGCTAAAATTGATAATTTGTTCGTAAAAAAATACCTATTATAAATCTGGACAATTAGGTCAGTTCATTCATCATTATTTGGAGCAATGTTTAAAAGCCCAACAATTTGAATTATAACCAAATAAGACAAATTTTAAAAGTTTGATTCCCTTTCTAACATCATCGTTCTATGAAATATTATGAAATGTTATATTTCTACAAAATATAATGAAGTAGCTTTGCATGTCTTCACAACTGTTAGAATACTCTGTACTTTGCATTAGAAAATGCATACTTCTGTACAAGATTGACAAATTAAGTTGTAGCTTGATATTTAAAATAACTTCCTATTGAAAAATACGGAGTATGAGTATCATCCAAAATTTGATTTTCTCTTAAATCTAAAGATAGATTTCTTATTAACAATACTATAATTTTACAGGTTATGTTTCATGGTTTGTTGATTGCTAATGTTGATAATCATACATTAAATTTTAAAAAAATTGAGATTTTATTCAATACATTAATATAATCATAAATTAACTTGATTGTAGTCCTGATCTGTATTTTCAAAATAATATGTTTAGATGTATATACCTAAACTAATTCTGGGGATTTGTGCCTGATTACCTAAACTTTTTATATTTTTAAATTTCTGGTCTCTTCACTTCGTGCTTTTTTCTCTCCTCTTTTGGCTTTTCTGGTTTTTGTTTTGTTTTGTTTTAAAACGTTAATAATTTTTTGTAAAAAGCATACCGAAGGACACATACATAATGAACCACAACTGCAATCTTATTCTATTTTAAGATGAATTGCTATAGTCGTATGCCACATTTCTGAAAATTGTGTCTGAACAAACTCATTGCTGTGTGGTTCCCCTGACTTATGCTGTCAAATCAGCTGAGCAGATTTCTTCTGTGGTTAGCCTGCTTAATATATAAACTTGAAATCTGGCTTGTTCTCCCAGATAAATCAGGAATTAAAAGCCAAGAACAAACCAT